TATTCTATTCTATTCTATTCTATTCTATTCTATTCTATTCTATTCTAATTGTACCCTATGACTATCATTAAGTGTTGGACCTGATGATTCTTGACGAATCTCTCTTTTCTTTTATGGACACTGAGAGCATTTGCACCAAGACAAATTCCTTGTGTGTCCAGTCACACTTGGCCAATAAAGTATTCTATGCTATGCTATGCTATGCTATGCTATGCTATGCTATGCTATGCTATGCTATGTGTATGCTATGCTATTCCTTTACCCCACTATCGGCGCAGAGACCTTAAGAAAACCTGTTGCATAAACCTGTTGCAATTTGCCTTCGGTTTCTGCCAATTTTCAGGGTCTTCCTTTCTCCATCGGTTAAATCTTTTTGCTGTTTTGGAATCATTCCGTGGCCCAAGAAGCCACAGCATGCGTCAGAAAAGTAAGACCATCCAGTCCCGTCCCGTCCCCCCCACCCCGGGAATCTCTTCATGCAACTGCAGACAATATTCCACTTTTCCAAAATGTTTTCAGGCACCCTAGAAAAATCCCAGCCTGGAGGAAATTTATCCTGGGAGCTGCCCGCCGAGTTGACGGCAGATCATCCCTCAATCCAGAAAAAATCCAGAGAGGTGTCGGTGAGCGCAGGTGTCCGAGCAGCTGACTTAAAAAGAAACCTGGGCACCCACCAGGTTCCAGATGTCGGCCCATCGGTTGGACCAGATGTTGAGTCGAAAGAAGGAACCACGTGGGGCGTTGGATTCTCCTAGCCGTTAAAAAAAAAAAAAACTCATGCGACACAAAATGGAGGTTGAAGGAAAAGACTCAACCCCCCCCACCCCTTGGTTACCCTCAAACCGAGACAACCCTGGTTTTACCTCGCCTGGCCCAACCGCCGTTAGATGGTTGAAAGATCTGCAGCAAGTTCTAGAGATGTTTTGAAGGAGAAGCCGCAGTAAAACACCACCCAGGGGGTGCAGTGGTACCCTGAAGACATACCTGCCCCCTATATCAACCGGACTTGAGCAAGGAAAGGCTCCCATGGGTGGGTGGGTGGGTGGGTGGGTGGGCTTCTCTTGGGGGGAGCCCCCCCCAAACCAGCTGGTTGGGCCACCCTCAAGTGGAGTTGACCTGGGCAGTGAGGAGCCCTGCAAAAGGAACTCACCCAGAGGCTGACAGCAAGGGATGTCCGGAGCCTTCGGTGTGGCCCTCTCGCCACCCCAGGGCAAGTCGTCACAGTCCCTGTCGGAGAGGGTCTTTGCCCACGTCCCCCCCGCTTCTATATCTCCCCCCCTCCCCGGTGTAAACAGAGCCGGATTAAGGCAGGGAGAGGGAAAACTCCCCTACCCAAGACGTTGGACAGAATTATGAGCCTGCCGCTTGCTCGCTGTCTCTGCGGCCACCTGTTCTTGCTGGCCCCAGTTCAAAGGACAGTCCATTCTGCTGCCTGCTGGCCGGCCAAGCTGGCCGGAGAGGAGAATTTCAGCCAACAGAAAGCAGAAAATGACGCACTATCCCCGGTGAACTCCTGACGCCCGTCAAACCGAGATCTTCCTCCGGTTGCAGAAGCCACCCCAGCTATAGCTGCCCCTGTTGGAAGCCCCCAGTAGGCAAAGGGGTGGGGGGGTTATTTCAGGCCTCGGACCAGGTTCCCCCCCCCCCAGACCTCCCAGCCGCTCTGGGTTGGGGCCGGGACAAGCGACACGAAACCGTCCGTCGTTTCGTTGAATGTGGCACCGTGGGCAGAGAAATCCCGGCGCGGTGCCTCATTTGGAGGGAATTGGTCAAGGCACCAAGAATGAGAAGGAGAGGGAAGTTTGGGTGGCGGATCAGTTGGGCCAGCGTTCCTCTCAAATATTGGCAGCTTCAGATCTGCGGGCTTCAACTCCCAGCATTCCCCAACTCTCATCTTTTAAGGTAGATGGACTTCAGCTCCCAGAATTCCCCAGCTGGCATCGTTTAGGATGGATGGAGTTCAGCTCCGAGCATTCCCCAGCCTCATTGGTGTAGGTTGTCTTGCTATTGCCTTGTGCGTTGTTTTTCAACCTTGGTAACTTTAAGG